CATAAAAGTGCCACAATGCTTTTTCCATAATGAAAACTGTTCAGCATTGATTAACCCATATTTTTTTTTCTTTCTCCTTGGGCATCGAACCACTTGCAGACTGGCTGGCAGCCTGGTTGGAGAAACTTGTAACGCAGCTGAGCTCACTGACCAAACGCTGCACCAAACGCACTTGACCTCCCAGGTGAGCTGGAGTGCAACACTGTGTCTCTATCAGCTTTGTGATGCCTCCAGCCGTCTGGAGTGCTTTCTATGACACGAATTTCTTTTCAGTTAAAATTCATTCAAAGTCCCAAGTGAATTATTTTTTAAAAAGCCTCAGATACACAGAGAAAGTTGCCAAGCAGGGGCTGCCCTGCTCTTGCCTGACTTGGCTCTATGACTCAGGCATCGTGTGCACCCACACCCCCATCCGTTTACGAGCACTTGTGGTCAGCATAACACAGCCCCGGGCAGGTCTCCCTCTGCCCCACTCCGCCTCCGGCTGTGTTAACCCTCTGGGCCCGAGCTCAGAGACTGCGGAACACAAGCAAATCCATTTCCAAGAAAAAAATAAATGAGCAAGGTTAAACTCTTCTGCATGGCAACTCCCAGACAGAATGATTTGGGGGCCTTCCACTCCTATGGACCCTGCAAGCAGACAACACGCCCAGTTCCCACCTAGAGAGGCCGGTACACTGCGGTTGGTGCACACACACGCACACGCCAGCCGCACGTGTCCTACCCAAAGCCCATTGCCAAGCAGGACAGCCCAGCTGCCGCCTCACCGACACCCAGAGTGCTCAGCCCCTTGGCTGTGAACAGTTTACCTTGTAAAACACCCAGGAAAGATGCAATAACAAAATGAAAGGGGCAATCACACCTCGAGTGGAAGTTTATGATGTTTTGGTTCACTGTGAGCATTAGTCTCTCCTGCTAATGTTAGGCAGTAATTCACGGCTGAGCGGCGGCCATAAAATATGATCACTTAGTGGCAGGAAAGCAAAAAGCAGGGAAGCAAAGGAGTGGGAGTTCCAGCTGAAATGTGGAAGCAAAGAGATCCTGTCCCTAGAAGGGGACACTGACCGCATTACCCCAACTTGGGCCAAAGGTCTCCAGATTTACACAGGCACCCTGAAGCCCATTGGGATGGTGTTTGCCTTGAGATTTTTACCTGTCATGGGGCCTGGAACAGTCTGTCGGTTATTTCTGAGTTCCCAGGCACCTCGGGGTCACTGCAGCGGCATTTACATGCCGTATTTCTTAACAGCACATGCCCTGAACATGCACCATGAGAGAGGCTGCCAATACCAGCCGGAACACATATACATGGGAAAACATAAAAGACAACCCAATTGGCACTCCCCTCACCTCCTTCCCCCCTGCCTCATGCGATGGGAGCACTAAAGGAGGGAAACTGTGGTCATCGCAGGCCAGGTTGCAAATGGCAGGGACCCACATCTCTCAAACAAAATGAAAAGTCAGGTATTTTGAGGGAAGCCCATGGATAACTACAGCCCAGCTTCTGGACACTGAGAACCTGCAACAAGCTCCCCTCCTCTCAGCAGCCCCCCCCACCCCCGCTTCCGCCTACCCCCTCCCCACCGTGAGTCCCTTGTCATGTTGCAAAGAACTCTGCGAGGCCCTTGTACACACAGGAGATTATTACAGGGCTCGGAGAAGCCAGCTCTGTAATTATGGCTACGGTATGATTTCCATTATTCTCACCCTTGGCTTTCAGGAGCTCACAAAACTTCCTGCAAAATCCTCCCACAGCCCCAACGCTTTTCGTGGCTGGGCCTCTGCCCAAGAGGTGAATGTGGTCCCGATAACCTCTGGGAAAAGCAAGGCAGAGTTATTCTAAGGAAAGGGGAGTGGTGCATAGCGAGCAAGGGTGGTGGGAAATTCTATTGTTTAGGAAAAATAAATAAACTGGCCGGTTTTGCTTTTTATTATTTTAAACAACAGACTCGGCGGGCCGGCCTTCCTTTCCCAATTCAGACTGTCCCCCCGGGCGGCTCTGCTGAGTCTGCAGCGGCGGTAGCCAGGCTCCAGCAAAACTATTAAAAAGGCTGCCACTCTGAGCTCGTGGAGCAGAAAGTTTGGCCACGCTGACGGCCCAGCTCTCCCCAGGAGGGCCGCTGGCTCATTCCCCCATCACGACCCTCTGCTCTTACCTCTCAAATGTTTATGCTTCACCAGTCCCACTGCTGCTCTGGAAATTAAATGTAATATCCCAGGTGGCTGGAACAGAACCAACCATTCTTACATAACCCCCCAAAGTGAAAATGGGAAGTGTTGGCCCACAGTGTATAAAGCCAGCTGGTCGGGTATTACCTGTCATCCCGGGCCCGGCTGACCTCTGGGGACACTTCAAGGCCAGGCCCTGCACACGGCCTGCCCCATGAGGGTTGTCTCCGTGCACATGGCTTGCCCAGGCTCCAGGCAGGGGGGTCCTCAGCCCTCAGCACATTATGCTCCACTCTGACCTACCGCCAGGAGACAGCCTCCTGCAGGCGAGCACACCAGCCCCCACGGGCCTCGGTGCACCCTCAGACGGCGGCACACTGACTTGGGACTCGGGTGTGTTGGGTTTAGGATGCAGCCACAGCCAGGAACTGGGTCTCTTTTTTTCCCGAGGAGAAAATAACTGTCTGTTCTGTTATGTGCACTGGACTCTCAATGTTTGTTTCTCTGACACCACATTCCAAGCGGCTCAGACAGTAGTCAAAAAAAAAAATCCTTCTACAGCATCTACTTGGTCTTGCCAGCAAGTAAATGAGCCTCTGGCACCTGGTAGGACACCTGGGGTGTGGGAATCTTTGAACACCTTGGAGTAAGTTACTTCTCCATTTCACAGAGACTGGGCTCACTAGAGAAAAGAGCTAAAGCACCCCAAATTGCCTTGCTTATGTATTCATTCGCAGTACCATGTATTTGCCCAATGAGCCAGGCCAAGCAGGCCAACAGACATGCCATCACGGGAGTTCACGTATGAACTGTATGTGGGAAAGCCTTCGGTATTCAGATTTCGCTTTCCCAGCAAACCGCACTCACTGAGTTACAGTGCGGAATGATTCGTGCATGTGCTGCCTCGGTGTATTCAGAGGCTTACTAGACGCAGTTTCAGCAAGTTTGGGGGTCTGCCTTCCCAGACCCCTGCGGGCGGGAGCTGCAGGCGGAGGGGGAGGAAGGGCACTGAAGTCGACCGGGTTTCCTGACAGTGAGTCGAGGTGACGAGTGACAATGTACATTAGGGGAAAGCCCAGGAGGCTGCAACGGACACGGGATTTGCGCAGGGACAACTCACCTCCACCTCACAGCACCTTTTCTGGGTGTCCCTGAAATTCAGCTCAATACACAAGTCATCCACAACAAAAAGACCAGTGCAAAGAGAAAACATTCAGTTGTGTTTAATATACTCTTTGCAGAAAGGCAGGGAACTACAAAATATAATTCTTTTTTTTTAAAAATTTTATTTATTTATTCTTAGACAGAGGAGAAGAGTGGGACAGAGAGAGGCAGAGAAACATCAGTGCATGAGAGAGACATCGATTGGTTGCCTCTTGCTCGTGTCCCGATCGGGGACTGGGCCCACAACCCAGGCACGTGCCCTGACTTGGAATGGAACTGGCGACCCCTCACTTTGTGGGACGACGCCCAACCAACTGAGCCACAGGACTCGGGGCAACAAAATACAATTCTTAAAGCTACATAGACTATAATTAAATTATCCATCAACTTGACACTTATCCTGTGCTACCTCTGTAGGAGCAACACCGGATGCGGGCTGCTTTGCCGGCATCCTCCTTGCCGGCGCCGTGGCGTTTCACTGACACTCCCTTCCAGGTTCGACCCCGTAACTGCTCCACACACATCCCCAGCTCACGCACACTCTGTTCCCTGCCTCCCGCCTGCACACTCTCACACCGCAGGCCCACTGCCGTTCCACGGAGATGTGCAACTCAAAGACCGAGATGACTGCGGGACCCGGCTGCTTCACAGTGGGCCAGGAGGGCAGGCACGGCCTGCTGGACGAGCGGAGGGCATTTCCCCTGGACCTTCCAGAGCTCGTGCTCAGAAGCACGGGAGCTCACAGGTAGGGATCAGGGCGCTCTCAGATCGGGTAGTGCTGGCTTTATTGATCTGAATCACACGGTGTCCGGAGAATTCCCATGGGAACCCAAAGAAAATGAGCAGGGGCTCCACATGGAGTCCCATACTTCCCTGGGACAGGGCTGACCAACGGTCACCATCCGACACAAAGCAGGACCCACGGCCTACAGTCCTAGGAAGGCTTCTCTTCCAAGCACGGAGGGCACCCTACGGAGGCAGCTCCAACTCACTGAGATGAGACCCCTGAGCAGAGCTGGGTGAGAGAACAGTCCTGGATATGTGGGTGCCCCCGCCACTGTTGATGGGCCACGGCCCCCCGGTGCCCCTGAAGAACAAGGGGGAAAGCCCATATCTCCACATCACACCGCCCCGCTCCACCTCAAGGAACTGCTCTGTGCACCATAACCCCAAGGTTTCTGGTCCCACAACTGGACCCTTAGCCCCAGTAGCAACTCCAGCAGGTCCTGAGCTTTCCTCAGTTTCCCTGAATGGATTCCAGATGGATGGATGTACAAGCCAGAGGGGCTGAAGCAGGAAGAGCAGGCACATTGCTTGCCTCTGTCCATGTCCCCAACCACCCAGGCCTAACGATGCCCTTGCCTTAGGCACAAACCCAAGTTCAAGCGAGCATGCCATTTAGGGTGGCCCAGTGAGGCTGGGGTAAGAACCTCAGGGAAGAGGGGAATCCATCCTCCCTTTGCGTGATTCCCACAGCCACCGCTGCAGTACAAAGGTGGAGAAGAGACGAGATTATCACTCATGACCTCACAGCAATATACCTCCTTCCCGCCAACCTGTATCGCTCACCTGCCAGGCCCAAGACAGCAAAGGAGCGTGAGATTACATCCATCCCACGGGGACAGACTGGCTTCACAACGATAAAAATGACAGCACCGCGGGCCTACCTTTTTCAGCTTGCCAGTCTTGGTGCCCACGAAGGCCAGAGAGTGGTTCTTGTAGACATACGCGATGACAGAGGTCATGCGGTCCCTGTCCTCCGTGAAGACAGGAATGCCACGCACCATCTCGGACACGCCCAGGGGCGCATTCATATCCAGGCCACAGAAGTTGTCATCAATGGTTAAGAGCTGAAAATAAACAAGGAAAAAAATTAGGAGGGAGCCTCGGGGCTACGGGCAGAGGTACTGAGCCGGGGAACTGTGGGGCTAGAAGAATCCTCGGATGTAGTATAAATCCCTCTTTTTCACACAAAACACTCAGCTCCAGAGAAGCGAAATGACCTGTCGACAGTCATCCAAGTAGGTTGCAGGACCGTGGTAAAAAAAAATAAAAAAAAAACAAAAACTACCCCACAAATTCCTCGAGTCCGTTTTCTCCACACTCCTGTGGTCTCTCTGCGCCTCCTACCATCACTCCAGGGGCCATCTCCATAGCTTAGATTGCCGCCACCACGGTTGCATCGGAAAGCACCGGGCCAGCCTCCATGAGCGGGGGCTCCCGATGGCTCTGCTCAGGTGTCGGGGGGTGTGGTTTCCACATTTACACACTCACTGTTAGAGTCCTCGAGGAGGAGGACTCACTCACAGGTGTACGACAGAAGGGAGCCCTAGAAACACTGACGCACGAACGAACGGCAGGACCGCGGCAGAGACGGGCACAGACAGTGGGCTTGGGACAGGGGACGTGGGAGGAACGGAGGGCTGGGGCGTGGACTCCGCACGCCGCTGCGGTGCCTCGCTCTGCCGGGGCTCAGGCTCCCTGTTTCTTTTCGAGCACAGCGAGGCAGGGCAGGCCTTGTCGTAGCTGCACCAGCACTTCCCAGAGGGTCTTCTGTGGAACCCAACACCCCCCCCAGTACACTCTACCATCAAAGGGGTTCTCGGGCAAATAATTTGGGGAAACAGTACCTTCTTACACCATGTAAAGAGATTCACAATGATTACTTACAGGAAACGTATGGAGTCTTTTTAAGAATAAATATGTTTCATATTACCTACGCCTTTCCCAAACATGTTGTTCCCTAGGCGGTTTTAGACCAGGACACCTATTAGCATTCCTTAAAGAGAAGACTCCCTGGGTATCCTGCAGCACACGCCGCCCCAGCCCTTGCTGCTGACTCCGGGGCAGTTCAGCAGTCAGAGAGCCAACGGGAAGAGGCTTCGGGCTGGTTTCCTCCCCAGTGTTTCAGCTGAATTTCTCCCTGTTTTATTCCAGGCCTCCAGGCCCCTGCGGGAGCAGCGGGTCACGGGTTTCAGACCTACTGCAGAGCAGTGAGGACCGTGGCTGTGGCCGGTGGGGAGGCCCCGGTGCTCCCCAGCAGGCAGCTTTGGTGGGGGGAGACCTCTCCCGGGCCCTCGGGACCTGCACTGGATTCCCCCCTCTGTCTGGGAAGAACTGTGTGGTCTTAGAAGAGTCGTTCCATCCCCTGTACTTTTATTCTCCACCCCGTAAAGATAAAGGAAACAGCCCCTGCTTTTTGATGGGCTTCCATAAAACCCGTAGAGCTCATGCTTGTAAACGTCCCTTGGACTTTTCAGAAAAAAAGGAGTGAAGTAAAATACAAGGTGTCACTTTTTTAAAGGCTTCCATCCAGCCAAAGAATCGGCATCTGGAGAACCAGCAGGCAGGCCGCGGCCAAGGGGCTCTGTGAAGGCAGCCAACTCTGAGCTGTTCGGGGCTTCGGGGGGCCCCCGGCTCCCGCCCGGGAGAGCGAGACAGGCATTGTCCGTCCCCGGGAAGACAACGTGCTGGGCATCGCAATCCTCTCTCGGACCTCTCCCTTTCTTCTCACTGTGGTAGGGAGCATGCAGACCGGGGGCAGGGGACTTGGGCCGGCCTGGGCGGGGTTCGTGCAGAGCAGACGTCTGCCCCAAGCCTGCGTGGCCTCTGGCCTCTCAGGCAAGGTCTGGTCCAACAGCTCCAGACCAAACACAACCTCTCCCCTCTCCAAAAACCAACCACCACCACCATAGGAATCCGGGTTAGCGGGGAGCTGTCAGGGTCTCGTCTGGGCTTCACGGTTCTCCCCTAAAGTGGGGAAATGAGGGGAGACAAAGGTGGTGGGGAGTGAAAGGAACAGACAGAAACGAGGAAGAGAAATTTGGGCACAGGGAAGGCAGGGGCCCCTCCCTGTGGGGTGCTCCAGGGGCAGCAGGGGGCGCGCTAGCCACCCTCGAGGCCTTGCTTGCTCCTGCCTCTGGTCCTTCAGGAGGGTTTGTCCCTGACACTCTCAGTCCTCCCCTGGTCTTCAGGGGCCTTACCGTCTGCAGACGGGCCTTGCCCATTATGGCCCATTTTCTAAAGAGATGAGGCTGAAGGGCTGACTATCCACTCTGTACAGGAGGAAACCAAGGTAGGGAACAACGTGGACCCTGTTTCACAGTCTCCCACCTCCCCTGGCACGAACACACGGTTCCCTGCACTGGGGAGGCTCAGGCTGCTCAGTCCTTGGAACTGCACTTCTGAGTGGCTGGCGACTGAAACCCTTCTTCCCCTTGGCTGGGCAAACACATAAACCACCACCCACAAGAAGGCAGCGCACACTTGACCAACTGCACCGAGTCATCCGTTGCTCAGAGGCAGAAAGTCGAGGACCTGCGAGTTCCTGCTGCTGTGACACCAGGGCACATCCAGGGGACCCCGGGAGGGAGGTTTTCCTCAGAAGGAAGTGAGGACAGCTCGGCCGGGTGGCCTGGCAGCCAGGGCTCTGCCGTCTTCCGCTCCTAACAGCTTCCCCCGAGGCGGCACCAGGAGCCAGGCCTCCGTGCCCTCACCTGCACCTGAGGGTCAGCCCCTCCCAGTGGCCTACCTCCTGGTGTCACCACCAGGAGACTGCAGCTGGGCTTCTACCAAGGTGACTGCATTCCAGGGCCAACGATGGCTCCCTCCCCAGGCTGCCCCGCACCTCTGAGCGGAGCCCCAGCTGGTGAAGACACGATGGAGGCCTCTGACCTGGCCCAGCCCAGGTGGGCGTGGATGCTGGCTCCCCCAGCTGTGGCATGAGTGGGGGGGTCTCACTCTTTGTTTCCTCAGAGCTGGGGAGATGGGGAGGGATTTTTAACCCTGAAGTAGTGCAAAAAAACCCAGGATTGGGGTTCACAGAGCAGCTTGGCTGCTTCTCAACTAGACAGCCTGGCACAGCCTCACCCGTCCTCTGAGCCTCGATGTCCTTGCCTCTAACATAGCAAGGAAAGGACGTTGTGAGGTCGAGGTGAGATAACAGGTGTGAAGACACGGGATAAACAGGAAAGCATTTCATCAATCTAAGGTGATGTTTCCCATTAATTTTTCCAGTGGAAATCCTGCCTGGAACAGGGGCAGGATGGCTGCTGGAAGGGCCTCCCCTGCCTCCTGCCCAGAGCAGAGCTCTCTGGGAGCATACCTGCCAGGTGTGAGCACAGCTGCAGCCACAGGGTACCTACAGCTCCGGGCGGAGGAGGCAGAGGGTCCCGAGAGGCCCACAGATGCACGGGGCCAGGGCAGAGGGAGCAGGGGCCAGGGCCATGTGGGCTCTGGAAGGGAAGGCGAATTGAAGAAAGCCTTGGACGGGTGCGGGCTGGCATGGACTCCTGAGCACTCTGGGCAGTGGGAAAGGACTCTGGCCCTGGCTGAGCCCTCCCCTGGGCCCCATTAACAGCAAGGTTAGAGCGGCAGCCACAGGAGCCGGGAAGGGGCTCACCGAGGCTATAATCAGGAGCCCAGCCTCGTCTGCAGACCGAGGTTGCAGCCCTTCCTCTCACCACGCCACAAACACCCGGGAATGAGCTGTGGCCACTGATATAATGTTTGCTTATTAGAGAGCAACTTCATGCTCAGCAGGGAAAGAAGCAGGGTCTGTTGCATGGAAATGCATGTGGTCCCTGTGTGGGCAGCCCCGCGAACAGATACTGAAGTCTCAGACAGGGCCACACCCCCCAGGACCCCTTCTACCCCGATCAGGATACCAAACTTGCATAACCCAGGTGTCCTCATGAGACACCTGGGTTATAAATTAAGACTGATGACCCACTGGATTCCAGGGACCCTGAGCTCAAGGGCGGGACCATGTTTTATGCATCTTTGTACCTTTAGCCTAGTTCCAGGTTCATAATACGTTAAGACAGGTGTGTGAAATGGATGGGTAGACGGATGGATGACTAAATAAAAGCCTAATTTCACAGTGCCTAACACTTTGGAATTTGAGCCAGAGTGCCTCAGGTTGAATCTCAGCTCCACCACTTATTGCTGTGTGACCTTGGGCAAGTTCGTGTTAGGCTCTCTGTGCCTCAGTTTCTCACAGGTAGGAGGAGGACAGTACTAACAGTGTACGCTACTGTCGGGAGGAACAGCTTCGGTGCAAGCAGTGCCATGTCCGGCGCTTCCTAAGCGCCGTGGGAGTGCTTCTGCTTCCTGCTCTTTGTCCAGGACAGTTCAGACAACCTCGGCGAGTCCGGGTCTTTGGGGAAATTCACGGCATCTGCCTCAGAGCCGTGTTATCAAGATGAAAGGAGCTAATGTTATCAAGATGAAATAGCAAAGGTGGTACTTCCTAAGATCTGTCAGACCAATGAGGCTGAAGGGCAGAGCAGATGAGCGGTCTCAGATCCGGAAGATGCAGTGCCGTTCATTGGAAATGCAGCTTCTCAGGCCCCTCCCGGACCTACTGGATCAAAAACTTTGGGACGGGGCTCAGAGATCTGCATCTTAATACCCTCCTGGTGACTCCGCTGCCACTGACGTTTGAGATGCCCTGGCCTGCGTCACCACGGAGGTCCCTTCCTAGAGAAGGGCTCATAGACCATGCCAGGGAGAGAATGACATGTGACAAGCATCCTGTCTCTGGAGCAGGACCCACTGGACCACGATGTGGAGAGGCCCATGGTGGCCCCAAGGGCCTCCCTGAGGGAATGGGTGCAGGTGGCCTGGGGAACCAGCACTGACACTCCAAATTACGATCTAATAGCATCTCATGCTTCCCTTGCCCACAGCGGCAAAGGTTACTGGGCAATTACGTGCCGGTACATACAAATGACAGAGCAGTTACGGTTACTTTACCAAGTACAGGGAAATTGCTCCCCCTCTGCAGAGAGACTGGCACTCTACAAAGCTCTGCCATCTCCCCAGAACGCTGCCAGCGGCTGTCCGCAGC